ACAACCACCCATCATACCTTTAGGATACGTAGGACGATCGAAAAATGTTATCAAGTGGGTTGATACCACTCGAATGACTTAGAAAGAACAAACGAAAATACTTCTGTCAGAATAGTTTGAAGATGGTATACAATCATGAGAAAAAAATGTTCTCATAGTTTCTTTTAAGGGAGATCGAACCCACTTGATTACCTATTATGATCATCCTACATATGTCAGATGCATGTTTGGTGATCGTGGACGGTCGAATCATTATTTTTAGCAAAAATGATATAAGTGTTGTTTTATTTTAACTGAAACGATATGCGTGTAGTTTTAGTTATGATTTAAACTAAAACGATATCAACGTCGTCAAAATTGTGTTGAAACGATATTGATATCGTTATGTATCAAAATCACAAATAAAGTAACGACATTCATATCGCTTTAATACAAATTTGACGAGTTAAGTAGTTAGCCATTGATGTATTGAACATGATACAATCCTTTAAGAGTATGATATATAACTCGAAGAGAAAATGAAGGGTAATGTGAAAGCACGTACCAAATAAAATTTGATTTCTCCATCTCTTTTTATTTGGTTTTAAGTGGCAAAGCTAATGGCTAGAGGAGTATTATTAGATATTGGTTGTATTTTAAAGTAAACTTCATATTTATCGGGTGTCCAAGAATTGCTCGAGTAAATTCATGAATGAAAGAGGGTGCATCTTAAAATCGGATGTGTACACTCAATCCGTTTAAGAATTACTCATCCTTTCAAACTTGGGTCGGGCATTTAATTATAAAAGGTAAAAACTCAATTAGTATTAATTATTGTTATTATAACACATACTATGAAAATTTTACATACAAATTTCAATTTTTTTTTTTTTTATCAATATAACATCAATAATTAAATAGCTAGCTTTCTATGTCAAATATGTCACAACATTGGCACAAACTTTCAACATTATATAGGAAGCCACGTCAAAATTCCTAAGTGCAATATGTTCTGACAGAGTGAGTCTTGATCTTATCAAAACAAAAACAATTAAGAACAAAGATTGTACAGTTAATAAGTACTTAATTGCTCCAAAAGGGATAGCAGAAATATTCACCCACAGGAACTTCCAATATAAAATGCATCTCCCTTAATATCACAGCAAAACTGTTCTTCACTGACAGAAAATTGGGGACATAAATTCCCATTAAAAGGAATAACCCAATATACATGTGATGCTATTATGAGATATTTCTCAAGACCACTTGGTTCAAATGCCACACTGATGGTTGCTAGGATTTGCCCATCGAATGCCAAATAAAAATGAGGAAATAATTAAATATAACAAAAAAGAAGATGCTGCAAGTTTTGATTACCCACTCAACCAAATGAGTTTTCAAGGGAATAATATGTAGATTTTGGGGTTCCATGAAGGAAAAGAAGATGAAGAGAAGGAAAGGAAAGGAGAATATTTGCATAGAGAGATCGACCTGTGGAAGGAATGGAAGTCAATATTGAATTAGGGCTAAATGGAAATTGAAAGGATAAAAGGAGATTTCAAGTAGGGTTCAATGGAAATTGAAATGAGTATAAGGGCAATAATGACCTTTTGTATACAAGGTCATTTTAGTCCTTTACAAATTATATTTTTCATATTTTATAACTTTAGGCCTTTTAACTAAGAAACATAGTTGTTGGTCTTTTTAAACTAATGTTCAGTTTGACTTGGCCTTTTAAATCAATTCCCCGATGGGAAATGAGGTTAGGGTTTGGCGGCCTTGAATATGATGTGCACGGCAAAGAATGTGCTAGATAGAGAGGGAAAATAAATATTTTACAAGCAAATATTGAAATTTTTAGTTGGAAGCAAAATTATAAGTAGGCGGAAAATCTAGTAAGATAAAAAATTATATATTTTATTGCCCTTGTTTGAGCCCCATTCTGAGAGAAAGAATGAATTTTTGAATAATGTATTGATGGAAAATGTGTGGTTAAAAAAATAA